TATCTGAGTAATCAAATTTTTAATAAAAAAAAAAAACATCAATAATCACATAATGTACTTCAAATTCTGGGTAAATGGTTTAACTGTTAGTTTTTCTCACTGGTTCTTCTTCGCAGAATCCAGATAACCATGACAGTGGTCACCAGCAACAGAATCATCACCAACGTCAGCAGAAGGAGCATCTGACTGGAGAAGAACAAGAGAAGGAAAGTGAAGGTTTAAGACATGCAGGAGTTTCATGCAGGATCCATGACAGGTTTTTACTTATCTAGCTTTGAATCTTGAATGCACACTTTTAAAGTATTTTACAGAGAATGAAATGGGTTTGGCAGTTTACCTTGGTGACTGTGTGGTGCTCAGATTGTCATTAGTGGTGGAAGTCAAGGAACCAGAGGGACATGTGGTCCCAGCCCATCCTGTTGGGTGTTTTGTTGCTGAAGTTAAACCATCTCTCTGCTGTGTAGATGAAGTAATACTTTCTGTCTGCTGTAAAGCTGTAGACAGCTCTCCCTGTTTGGGTGTTTGTGAAACTCCTTTTGCTGTGGATGACCAGGAGGGTATTCCACAAAATTAAAAGCCAGAAGTCAAGACTGTCCAATAGGAATGCTTCTTACCTAAGCTGTTATTGGACTATCATGACTTCAGGTTTAATTTATCCAACTAACTGAGAAATCTTGTTTTGTGGAATACCCCCAGGTCAAAACATCAGTCAAAACGTTTCATATAACTTAATTCTAACATATACAATTTCATAATATACATGCTAAATAAAAATGAATCTACAACCAATGAAATTAATGAAAGTATTATAGATTATAAGAACCTATGAATTAATTACTGATTATTTCACCATGTAATCATATCTGTCTCAGTCAGTCTGTCCATAATATGTAACAATAATAATAATAATACAGTGATACCATGGACCATGAACTTAATTTATTCTAGGAGGCTGGTTGAGCTATAATTTCCTTTTTAAGTTCTGCAGTTACTCTCGCTACTTTCTTATTTGGTTTGCTGCTATCACTGCTCACTTTCTTAGGGGTCATGATTACTGTGTTACTAAATGTACTAGATAAAGTAGCAAAAAATTCCCACCAAA